GAGAGGGGGGGAGATTGGGGGAGGGGGGGTGAGAGGAGAGAGCATAGGAACAGATTTTCCTTTAGTGTTTTAATCCTGCTTTAAATATATCAAACTAAAGCTTTCCCTTGTTTCCTATATATAACTGATTTTACACTACCCGTTCATATTAGCCAATCTCCGTTCGGCCAGTACAGAATTCTAGATCCAAGATAATACAAACTTCCTTTACTTTTCCCTTTAAAGTTTTGTGTCTTCCCCACATCTGCCTGACCAAAGTTGTGCCGATAGTCCGTAAAACAAGTACTCAACCAAATCCTTCAAATCCCCACAGGTCCTCCTGTCACTGAGAGCCATCGGGAACGCCGGACACGCCACCCGGGCCGCTGACGTCACCAACAGGTGTCTGAGCGCCACTTCCAACCCGCTGGAGATCCGGGTGGTCGCTGCTGAAGCCTTCAGACGGATGCCTTGTGGCGCTAAGGTGAGGGATACGCCCCCTTGAACTACAGGCGATCCTGCTCTAACGGCCATCTGTATAAGAAAATTACCTGAAAAATAATGGACACTTCCCAATGCATCCCTTTTGTATTTTTTGCCCTAAACGCAGAAGACACACATTTAATTTCATTATGAGGGTTTATGAAGAATGTTTTAAAGAGCTGTACAAGTCAAATAGAGACACAAATAAATACAATTATACAATAAGCAAGGCATTTCTCTGTAAAGGAATAGGCGACCAGCTTAGCCTGCTGTTTTCTTGTTGTTAATGGGTTTTATAGATGAGCTCTTGTAGTGCGACGATATTATTTTTTAGTTGTGTCAGATATAGGTCTACGTTTTTATTCTTTATTACTGTAGACTTGGCATTTTTGTGTGGTGCATTGTAATATCTGACTTCCAAGACAGTTGTTTTCTTCTGTGAGTAACAGAACTTCTCTCATTATTTCTATGTGTGTTACTGTACAGCATTAGTTACTTTTTATGTGTGTTACAGAACAACAATAGTTATTTTTATATCATTATGTGCATACGTGTGTGTATTGTTCCTTAGGACACAGAGCTGTGGAACACTTACGAGAACGGTGACCTTGACTCCGAACTCCGAGTGGCCGCCTATCTAGCCCTGATGCGCTGTCCCAGTGACGCAATCCTGGGCAAAATGGCCGCCAGTCTGGTCAACGAGGAAGATGAACAGATCGGAGCCTTTGTCTACAGCCACTTGACCAACCTGAGAGAGACCTCAGACCCACACAAACAAGACGTAGCACGTGCTGTGAAAAAGTGAGTTAGTGTTGAAGACGATCTCGTCTTGTGTGTTTTGACACTCATAGTGATCTCGAGACCTTAATAGACAAAGAGGTTTATTAAGTCGTCGTTTAAGATTTAAAAAAATTATATCTATTTGTAACACACTATATGGATCTGCATTTCGTTCTTACATGACTATTCTGTTGCGAGGAAAATGCACAGGGAAAAGGATTTATCTGCTTTTGCGTTAGAATTCACAAACTTTGAAGTCCAATATCTCAAAGTAGCTACAGCGCAGATAGAACTCTTTTCACTTTTCGTCTCATGTTACGATTTCCGTATTACTCACGAAGTTGAACATGTTGTGATAACGAAGTGTTATAGCGTTAAACATTCACCACATGTGCACCTCCCCCAGAAGTTAAGCGTGCCAATATTATGATAGTAGACGTTATTTTGACTTTAAAACATCTTGCTACTAAAACAAACTAAGCATCTTTATAGAGATTTTTTTGGTCCTATAAAATAGGAGCACAAAGACAGAATAGCTGTCACTGAGTATACTGGAAAAGCAAAACAGACAGACAGAAACATCAGATGAAAAGAAATGAAATACGACGTACCAGTTTTGCTTTCTAACCACACGCATGTTCGAGACAATGTCTCTGTATATATTATGGGGGGATGGAGTGTTTTGGTTGGGGGAGAGAATTAATGAACGAACCAGCAAGCCAGGCTGATGCAAAGTGACTCTCATCTTACATTCTATCTCAGATACAGTATTGGAAAAAAAAACCCTCGATTTTGATTGCACCTCCATCTCTTGTCTATATTGCACCTCCATCTCTTGTCTATCTCCCAGCCTCGCCCTAGACAAGGAGTTTGACCTGAACACCCTCAAGTTTTCCCGGAACTTCGAGGCTTCCACACTTATCAACAAACTGAACACAGGATTCACGGCCGAGAGCAACCTCGTCTGGTCCAGCGTCTCCCAGATGCCCAGATCTGTCACCGGAAATCTGACCATTGATCTGTTCGGTCAAGCCATCAACTTGATGGACTTTGGCGCTCGTCTGGAAGGGTTGGAGTACCTCATGAAGAATCTTTTCGGACCCTACATGCCAGAAGAGCAGAAATTCAAGGTATTACCTGAGCATGATCAAAGTGTGGTTAGTTTAATATCTTTGAAGCAAAGAGTTTTTGACAGTTTTGGTTTTCAAGACATAATATAAAGCACCACATGATTGTTACAAGTCTGCAAATATTGCGAGAAACAAAGCATCCTATGTTGACTTGTAGCTTTAAAAAAATTAAAAACACGACTTCACTGTTATGGGAATAGCAAATGCAGTACGTTAACTAATATGATCCATTACTTCATTGTCAAGAGAATAGTATTTGCAACAAGCGTTCATGTATTTTTGAAAGTAACACAGCAACTACAACAACAGCAACAACAACAACAACAACAACAACAACAATGTCAACAACACTTTTCAGCCCGTCAAGAACTATTCAACCACAATTTCTGACATTTCACAGAACCCCGCAAAAGCTGAAGATGTCGAAGGCTCCATCTACGGCCGAGTCTTCGGTAACGAGATTTTCTTCATGCACAGCAAGACAACGACATCCCCCTTCAAGAAACTCCCCACAACCTGGCTGGACCTTCTTATCCAGCTGTCCAAGAAACAAGACTACACCCTGACCCAGTCAGCTCAGTTTATTGACGTCAGGTAAAGGGGACACATTTTGAACTGTTTTTATATCGTTAGTGCAATCTTCGAGAAAATTAATTTTGTAGTAGTTATAATGTTTGTGGATACTTTTGTCTAAAAAAATGAGTAGCACTCTCAGATCACAAGCAAAACAATAGGAAGGTTAGCCAACTGATACTTAGAGAGATACGCACATCACTGTAGAAAAGGAAATGGTCCTGCTGTCTGTGACGAGTTGTGGTGTTTGTGATTATTACAAACTGATTGCTATTATTTCCATTATTTTATTGTGATGATTTCGATATTTCAATAAATGAAGTACACATTGCGCAAACCACAGTTTTAACTCTGTGTGAAATGATACCGTAGAGCACATGATTTATGTATTTCATTACACTTAAGTTCTGGAAGCGGCAGACATCCCGTTGATTTGTCTTTTCGATTGGATCAGGAAATTAATAGCCTTTAGACAAAATCAAATCTACATGAAAGACCATTCCATCAGCGGTATAAGGTGTAGCTGTAAGTTGCTTTGCCATGACACGCAGAAATAGTAAATTCGATTCCCATATTGGGAGAGATTCTATCCAGCATTCGGTCTTTCTGATGGAACATTGTACCCCTCGTACCCTGCGTTGTTCCTCTCGGGTAGAGTCGAGGTGAAGCCAGCCTACCAACTGATCTGAACTGTATCGAATGGGGTGTAAAAAACACAAAAGTTTAATAAAAATCCTCCGCTCTGGTGTCCCCAGCATGATCATCCCCACAACGGCCGGTCTGCCCATCCACATCGACGTCAACGGAACCGGCACTCTGGACCTGGTCCTCAGTGGAAAGATGGACCTCCGCAAACTGAGCTCTTCTCCCCGCTCCCTGGACATAGATGGAGAAATCCGACCAAGGTGGGTCGCCTCACTTTATCAAGTCAACAAGTTACTCTTTCCGATGAATTGTTGTAAAACTGAGTATCTTCTGACATGTTGAAGCTTTTTTAAATGTAAATGTTTTAGGGTGAATTGGGGTGGGGTGAAGGGCTACTGTTTTATAGCAAATTGAGACCTGAGAACTGAGGTGAAATCAACTGCAGGCCCTTTGCTGTATTGCATTGTCGTGTGACATCTTAAAGCACAAGAGTTTAGCAGATAATTTTAGGGTTATGAGTGTCTTATGGACAACTATGCTGCTTTTTAAAGGAACTAATATTAATGATTGTTCTATGAAAGTGTCAAATGATTAATATATTTATTGTGTTCGCCAAAGAGCATGCCTCTGTGCCACAGAACTCATGAAAGTAGTATCACTATTTGAAAGCGGCAAATGTTCGTTCTGGGACTTTTGACTCGACATAAAGGTGTTGAGTATCCTGCTCTCGATAGAGCAATAGAAGGCAAGGGAGGCAGGGACAGACCTCGAAAATCTATTTGGAAAACCTGAATAGATGGGCGACGGGGATATGCCTGGATAATGCAACGGTTTTAGAGCATTCAAACGAAGAAATGAATGGAGCCCCACTATCACAGATATCTGTTTCAGATCTGGCACTTTATAATGACGATGAACACTAAATAGACTCTTTAACTTTTTAGCGCTGCTATTGAGATCTCTGGATCAATGTCTGTTGACGCCATGGTGACCAGGACAGGACTGCGCATGCGCAATACTCTGCACACCAGCACCGCCCTGAAGGGTCGCGTACAACTGGAGAGAGGCCAACAGCTCAACGTGGAGTTGGACACCCCTGAGGACAAGATGGAAATCTTCAATGCCAGGTACTTAGTGAAAGAAACGTACATGTTCAGTCGAACCTGTCTTAGATGACGAACGATTATCGAGGAGAGAAGTAGTTATACTAAACAGGTGATACGCTTGGAAGTGTCGTTATGATATTATAAAAAACGCAAGGAGGGGGGAGGTAGGAAGACGCCATTTGGATAGGTGATAGTCTTGGGCTGGTGTTTGTTCGACTGCTTATTTTCAGGGATTTCTCGTTAATTTTTTTTAAAAACTCTTCAAAGCTTGGATGGGAATGTCAATAAAGAGCAGACACATTTGAGCTCTTGGAATGATTCTTCTCTTCTTTCTGTCTAAAATATTCTATTGTTTTTCCCATACCTCGGTTCTGTCAATGAATTCTACAATTCTTCACGTCATGTTTTCATCACCTTGGTTCTATCAGTAAGTTCTACAGTTCTTCACGTCATGTTTACTCCCATCTTGGTCCTGTCAATTAACTTTACAGTTCTTCACGTGCCATTTACCCCGTCTTGGTTCTGCCCTCAGGTCAAAGTTCTTCATCATCCACAACGACGTGGAACAGGAGCAGGCCATGATCACGGAGAACCGACAAGAGTTAAAAAAGTGCTCCGGTGGTCAGCTGGCCGATTTGTCCGGAATGGAGCTGTGTGGCGAGCTGACCTTCGCTAACGCGTCCATGAAAACCACCGGCCCTTACTTCCCTCTGACTGGACCCACCTCTGGCAGCCTGACGCTTTACAAGAGAGACTCACACAAGGGCTACAAGATCTTTGCCAAGCGTGTGGAGGTAAGCACGAGTCGATAGATTATGTCCAGCTACATATCATGGCATCTTTATTGTTACGGAAATGCCTTATATCTAAGCCCCCACATCCTTCGTGTTGTTCTTTTTCATTTATTCCAATAAAGATCGTGATGTGTCATATGTACAATCAAGCCTAACCATACATAAATTATGCCTGTCTTCTTGCAAAATTAGCACTAATCTCAGGAAGAGATTTCCTCCTTTGCAAAGGTGATTGCCAGATTCCTTCTTAAACATACATTATTTCTTTTGATAAGGAGACACTATCAAAATCACATGTCAGTGCTCGGACAGAGTTTCAAACCTCGGCAATGAAAAAACCAAGTACATTAAATGGCTTTTATCAGTAGAATATCACCACGAAATCCCTTTGTCTTGAATGGATATTACGTTGAATAAGTTCTCGGAGTGCAGTATATAACTACCATCTGAGCAATATTTGTACGAGAATATAATCTGTTGGCTTTCAATACTCGTAAAATAAACTGACATTGAGCGTTTCCACACTGTTCTCAGAACAAGAAAGCCAGCATTGCCCAGATTTCTTTGAACACACCGGGCTCAAAGGTGGACCGTGCCATCCTGCTGGAGATTGACGTGGACTACCCCAAACAGTCTCTGAACGCCATCATGAGGACTCCGTGGAAAAAAGCTGCTGTCAGAGGTAAGATTTTTTGTGGGACGGGGCTCGGCAATGTCAAGTTGTGTGAACCAATAACGTTTCAGGACGGGTGGATCAATTGAGGGGAATAGTGCATACCAGTATTGTAATAGTTCTCTTTCAAAATACTAATCGTCGAGAAAATTTGTTTTACTCAAGTCATGTTTTAAGGAATAAAATTGTATAACTAAGTTTGCAAAATTCACCAAAACCAGATATCTTGTGAGGGAAAAGAATTCGATTTCAGCAAAGAATATTGGAGTGATATTTGCTGTGTAGTCTAACTTGAAACGGGACTAAAGAATTCGAGGAGGGCGAAGTAAGAGGAACAGGGAGAAGAGACGGAAAGGGGGGGAAGGGGGAGAGAAAGAACCGGGGCGATGGGGGAGGGAGATAGGAGGAGTTAAAACTCTTTGCCATAAAAAAGCGAGTAAATGCTGTTTCACGGGGTGAGGCTCTACATCATACTATGTATTTTATATCAAAGAAATATTGTACGTAGTTGACAATGACATCTTTACTACAGGAGTAGCCATCAACAGCGACGAGTTGAAAAGCTTCACCGGCAGTGTGGTCATCGATGACATCGACACGTACGCGTTGACCACTGAGGTGAAAGTGGACAAGAGCAAGGGCAAGCTCCAGCTGAGCCCCATGGTTGAGCTGAGACGAGCCGGAGCGGAGAACGTGCAACTGACCGGTCACGTGACCCTTGTGAAGCCTTTCAAGTCCGCGGACGTTGACCTGTCTGTGTCCGGACTCAGCAAAATGCCATACAACCTCCAGAGTGAGTAAACGCTTTGTTCGCTTTGTTGTGAGAAGAAACTGATCTTTGTTAATGCATGTGTGTCTGTGTGTGTGTTTGTGTGTGTGTGTGTGTGTGTGAGTGTGTCTTGTGTGTGTGTATGTACTTGTGTGCGCGTTTGTAGTATGTATGTGAGAGAGGTGGAGGGATGTAGAGAGAACGAAAGAAAGAGAGAGACAGAGAGAAAGAGAGGCAGAGAGAAGAAAACAAACAATAATAGATAGACAACTAGTAAGACAAACTAATCCACTACTAAATACGTCAGTTATTGGAATTGAAATACACCATAGAATTAAAAAAAAGAACAGTGTCATTATTGTATGCAATTGGATTTTTCTGGCTAAAAAACAGCTTTAATTTCCTGCCTGAAAAATGTAGCGTTCCACGACAATAAATTTATCACACTGCAAAAAATCGGTTACCTTAGTCAGCTAGTGAGGTTTACCCGTTCAAGGATTAAGAGAATACATCCTCTCCATTTACGTTTTATCTCCGTACCCCCCCCCCCCTTCCCTAATCCTTTCCAGCCTCCGTTAGCAACACGAAGAAAGAGAAGAGCATCCAGGCAAGCTTCAGCCCTGACGGTCAGCGCCGATACACTCTAGAGGCCAGCAACCAAGTGACTGTGATGGGAAAGAAATCGACAATCGCCATCGTGAAGAGTCTGCTCAAAGTGAACACGCCCACCAAGCAAGTGATGTCCCTGACAGCTGGCGCCGACTACAGAGAGACCAAGTCCCTGAAGCTGGACGGTACCCTGGACGTCTATCGCCTCCTCAAGAAACCCGCCAGTGTCCAGCGTGAGTACTTCCTCTTTTTCTGTTTTTGTTTGTTTATGGTTGGGAGGTTTTTGTTTTGTTTTGAATTCTCTTGTTTCTTGTTCGTATATATATTTTCTTTCTTTTTTTAAACTTAGTTTCTTTTTGTTGTTGTTGAGGTATACGCTATGCTAGTGATACAACACTTTTTTACCCGAAAGTTTAATTTTCTAGCTAAATGGATCGAGTTGTTATGGGCAAACCATAGAGCCTCGATGAAAATGAACCTGCATTTTAAGTTTCAAAAAAAAAAATCCAGTTATAACTTTAAAATAACGGTTGGTCTTAAACATACAGTTAGTCAGTCGGGATGTTTTACCTATTTGACATACAGTCAGCAGAATCTGTCAAAGACGAATGTCCCCTGTTGAGGAAAATGGTCATCTTAGACAGGTGATACCCTTGGACAGTGTTATTATAATATATACGGAGATCAAAGGGGGGGGGGGGGGTGTTGTTTGTACTGGTGATTGTCTCGGACTGATGATTGTTCCAGCATTTTCAACTTGTTTTCTTTGTTAGTTTCTCTTGTGAAAAGCGGCAAGAAGCGCACCGCCCGCTATGACGTGGAAGGCTCTCTGAAGTCATCTGGAGTATCCGGCAAACTGGACAGTTACACCACCATCAAAGACACTGGCTTTGTGTCCACCAAGAGCATCCTGAGCTACAGTATTCCCAAAGTGGTCAAGAACAAGATCACACTGGGCGGAACGCTCAACGACAGGAGCACAAAGTCCTACAAAAAGTACACTCTCAAGAGGTCAGTTCATTTCTGCACTTGCAACACGAACAGGTCATTTTAGACGTGTCGGAGATTAAAAGTATTATTGGAGAGTAACATACAAAGAAAAGAAGAAGAGATAATTAGTATTGAGACTTAATAGTAAACAAAGAGCAAAACACGCCAGATTCCGAGTTAACCCCCAAGGTAAATTAATGTTTAATAGAGTAATTCAAAAGTTGAGATGTTTTCTCTGTTATGTCTGCTCTTAACAAGCAAACTTTGGTAAAGACATTTTGCTTTGAAATACAAATGTTGTCATACATCATTGTTCTTTTTTAAACGGTCATTCAGACGACTTGCACGATACTGATGTATGCATAAATAATTCCAAAATATGATTGGGCATGATGACTTAAACAGTTAAAACATGAGTATGGTGCACATATTGAATTCTTCTTAAGTTTCGAAAAAATATACGTATAGCTTTAATGAACATGAATGACATATGGAAACGTAAGGTTCTAAAGATGATCAATACGTGACTAATTAATACAACTCTTGCTGCTACGCTGTTCCTGCAGAAGTCATGAATTTATTCTCCCTTTTCATTTCTTACTAACAGCACCCTCGACATAGCCAAGAACCCCGAGTACAACCTGGGTCTTGATCTCTCTGTGGACCACAAGAAAAAGCACAGCGAGGCTGAAGTGGAACTCAAGTACGGACCTAACCCTAAGGACAAGACCAAGAGGCTGTTCTGGTCTTCCTCTTTCACCAAGAAGCAGGCCAGCTGGAAGAACGCTGACCTAAGCTTTAAGATGAACGCCCTGGCTCCTGCTCATGTGAGTTATTTCCATATGTTCATTCATTGTTATCTTTTAGGGCTACCTAAACGTGGTCCACCCAATTACCACTACAGGAGAAGCTATACAGGCCTTCAGGGGAACTAAGGAAGATGGCAAAGGATGATATGTAATGGTCTCCATGCGGGATGTGATCGAGAGAAAAAATGAAGAGGTTTGCTTGTTTGACTTATTTAAGAGGTGGGACCTCCAAACATCTCCAAAAGGATTGAGTCAAATGGGTGGATAGCCTTAAAACACCCAAAAATGACACAAGCTCAAAACACCTTTGTGGGAATTTAAACGGAGGCCTTCCGCTTATCCTTAGTCCAATGTCATTCCAACTATGCTAACGGGGAGCCCATGGTTTCAGTAATAGTATGTGTAATTTTTTAAGAATTTTAAATGCTTAAAAATTCTGTGTCGTTTTTCAAGCTGAAAATATTCGTCACATTTCTTGTTGTCTGGAAACTGCTCAAATATTCTAGACAGCATCAATGTCGATATTGTAATATTAATTTGTCTGTGGTTATCTTAATGAATGTACAATGCTTACATACAGGGCGTGGACGTAAGTGTGATGGGCCAGCATGAGCACAACCCCAAGATGCTTGACTCTAACGTCGTGCTCAACTACGGAGGAAAAGAAGGAAAAGACCTGAGCGCCCAACTGGCCTTTAAAGACAAGAGCAGCGAACTGGCAAAGATCAACGGCAAAGCAGTTGTTGCCTGGCCTGGCTCAGCCTATACCCTGACCACCGACTTTGACCAGAAGTCTGAGAAAAAGTATGTCCACGAGATGAACCTGAAAGACAACAGTGGCATGAAGCACGCAGTCACCACCATCTACAAAACTCCCAAGGGAAACGCACACGAGCTGACAACGAAGTTCATGCTGGATGGCGTAAAACCAATCACCATAACTGGATCCACCAACCTTGACCTGAAAAATTTCGAAGTCTCAGGAGAAATCCAGAAAGGCACAGATACTTACGGCCTTAAAACCAAGTCGAAAGTTTCCAAGGCTTCAAGCGCAAACGTTGTTGTGGAACTGGTGTACCCTGCCAGGCGCATGACCCTGCTTATGGATGGAGGCAAACAGAAGAACAAGTTCAACGGTCGAGTTGAGGCTGCTTGGGACGCAGACAAGGACAAGAGCCAGACAATTGTAATTGATGTGTCCGGATACATGAAGGCATCGAAGAAATCCACGAGTCTGGGAGGCGACGTCAAGTTCAACTCACCTTTCGAGAACTACGAAGACATTATGACAGCTTTCAAATACGGAAGTGACGACAGCCAGCATGATCTCAGTGGCAAGTTGTCGTGGGGTGGAAAGGGCAAACAAGTTGTGTCCAGCCTTACAGTCAAGAATCCCATTTCTCTAAGTAATCTGAAGATGGTGGCAGAATCAAAGAGCCCTTTCAGGGGATTTCGAGTTGTCTCCGTTGATGTTGATCATTCCATGGAACCCACACTGAAAACTGTTCTCAAGGGCAGATGGGAAAAGGAAAATGGAAAACTGACAATCGAAGGCGAAAACCTCGGAGATATGTACAGACGTAACATCAAAGGAAGTGTTGCACTCAAGTCCACTGTGAAAAACGCCGAGGACATCAAGCTGAGCTTGTCTCACTCTGATGGATCAGGCCGAGTTTCTTCCAACGCTGCACTCATCCACAACGGAAAGCCTTACGGATACGGCATGAACATGGTCCACTCGCAGAACGGCTGGCAGGTCAAGAACTCGGGAGATCTCGTTTTGACAATGCCCAACACCAATGTCAAGTCAAGCTGGAATCACAAGAACGGCGAGAGATACATCAAGTCGACTCTGACTTCCGACTGGGGAAAGAATCGTCTGCTCGTAGATTTGGATGGTTCCCAAGACCTTCTGTCTTCTGGTGCCCTGAGCGGTGATGTCAAGATCCAGACTCCGTGGAGATCGTTCAGAAGTGTAGATCTCTCTTTGAGCCACAAGCAAGGGCGGGGTCTCATTTTGAACAAAGCCTCCCTTAAACAAAACGGCCAAGTGCAAGCCTCTTCTACCCTCAACTACAACGGCCACCCGTCCGGACTGGACATTGAATTTGCTCTGACGTCCCCATATCATGAAAACATCAATGGCAAGGTGAACAGCAAACACAGCGCCTATCCAATGACCGGCATGGCTGAAATCAGCTGGTCCCCCATGTCTAAAGCTGTTATGGAAGGTTCCGTGAACGTTGCTTCATGGGAAAGCGCAAATGTTGACTTGAAGTTGATTACTCCTCTGAGAGAGTACCGCAACATTGTTTTCAAAGCTTCCAACATAGACGAAAGGGGAGAAATGGTATCTCACATGAACCTCGACTACGGAGTCAGAAAGAACATCGACTTGGAAAGCAGAATGTCTTATGGTGACGCCAAGAAAATGCTCCGTCTCAGAATGACAACTCCTTTCGAGCAAATGAAGTCCTTGGACACCGGACTCGCTGTTACAGGCGTTATCACAAACTTCGATGGATCCGCAGACTTTGAAATGTCCCCAGCTGTCGGTAAGTTCCAGGGCTCTCTCAACTGGCAGTACGCCGACAACCTGAAGGGAAATCTCCGCCTGGAAACTCCATTCCCCGAGTATCCTTACATTGAGCTGTCAACCTCGAGCCAAATGACAGGACGGTCCAGGCAATCGTACATCGCGGCAGAATACTCTCCCCGCCAAAGATACAGCTTGGACAGCACTTACACCTTCGAGATGCCGTATTCATTTGAAGCCACCATCAGCTCTCCTGTCCCCGAGTATGACAACCTGGGCCTGACCTTCCAGCACATCAACTCTCCATCCAAACTGGTGTCTCATGGAGAGCTGCGTTACCAGCCGAGCAAGAAGATTGAGGGCGATATGAACGTTGACTGGTCCGACCTTGTAGAGGGTACACTCATACTCAAGACTCCATTCGAAGGGTACGAGACGAGCAAAGTAATGTTGAGACATCAAGGCGACATGTACACCTTTAGCAGTCACGGAGAGGTGAACGTTGCAGATAAGAGCGTGTCGGCAGACGCCAGCTTCAACAGCGGCTACACCACCACAGGAACGTTCACCTTCAACAGTCCCATCCCTGGACTGGAAAGTGTTGAAATTTCCGTGAACAAAAGAGGTAACAGCAAAAATATTAGAGGTGGCGCCACATTGGTACTCAATGGAGACAGATCTCAAGCAAGTTTCAACCACAAAATGAAGGACGGAGCACTGAAGTCAACTTTCAGCCTCTCCAGCCCCAACACTGAAACCTTCAAGGTCAGCATCGATCACAATGGCGCCCTGGACAGTTTCACCAACAAGATGTCTCTCAACTATGGCCGTCGTTACGACCTTGACACCATCATTGCCTTCGACCACAGACAGCCAGACATCAGCGGTAATGGCATGATCAAATACAAACTGGCCGGTCCCCGAAATGTTGCTCGTGTGACTTTCAGCAAAACTGGCCAAGTTGAAGATATGGCCTTCAGTGGAACTGTTAGCTACAACAGGGAAGACATTGGCGTACAGGGTTCTTGGAAACTTCTCAGCGGAATGCAGGGTTCCATTCAGGTGAGCACGCCTTTCGACGACTTCAGAAACATCGGCGCCGTACTGATCCACAATGGAGATTTGGACAACTTTAAAACAGAGTCCAGCGTAACCTACATGGACGGCAAGAGTATTACCGGAAAAATTGACCTGTCCTCCAACGGCCTGAGTAGAGTCCGCTTCAACACCGAGGTGGTTACTCCTTTCACAGATCTGCAAAGAACAATGCTGAGTGCGCACCACGACTATGACGAGTACACCTTGGCTCTGTCTGGAGGGGCTACACTGACCTCCACCATCGGCCAGTTTGGACAAGGTAGTGTCACATACAGCAAGTCAGGGGATCTGGACAACTTCAGCGTTCAGCTCAACGGAAAATACGCCGATGACGAGGCCATTGTTTCTGCAATGAAGAGCGGAACGTTGAATGATTTGACCGTAAGCGGCAGTGCCAGCTACAATGGTCAAGCCATCAGCATGGACGGCTCACTGAACACAATCAGCGGCATTGATGGGTCAGTACAGGTGAAAACGCCTTTCACAGATTTCAGGAATGTTGGGATGAAACTTTCTCATCACGGCCCGATCAAAGACTTCAAGAGCGAAGCATCCTTTGACTACATGGACAACAAGAACGTTAACGGTCATGTGGAATTCTCTGCCGACGGTCTGCGAGACCTGAAGCTCTCCACTGAAGTAAACACTCCACGGGAACTTCTTGGCTCCTCTAAGCTAACCCTGAACCACAAATATGACGCATACAGGACAAGTGTCTCCTCGAAGGGCGATCTGAGAAGTTCTATTGGTGGATTTGGCCGTGGCAGTTTCCAACTGAGCACGACTGGTGACCTGAATGACCTTAGCATGGAGGGCAAGGCTACCCACAATGGTCAAGACATCATCGACACCAAAATCACCAACTCCCTCCAGTCCCGTTCCCTGAACACCGCTGTGAGTGTAAAGAGCTTCGTGACACCAGACTTTGAGTTGACCGTTGGCCATAGCGGAGTTTTCCTCAACAGCAACACCAAGGCTCAGGCCGTTCTGGGAAGCGACAACGTCATGTCACTTGTGGCCACAGTCAGCAACAGCGGAGATGTGCTCGACGGACAAGGTCAGCTCAACCTCCGGTCCATGGACTACGGCAGTAGCCAGGGGTCGCTCACCGTCCACAAGGAGGGAAAGATTGATGACTTCAGCATGACAGTAACCACTGATCTCAACAACGACAAGTTCACTGTCACCGGAGCCATGAAAGTCAAGGACGAAATTACAGGATCCGTTAAGCTGCAAACACCCATCAGGGGATACAGAAATGTTGGAATGTCCTTCAGGCACTCTGGTAACCTTGAGAGGTTCAACACAAACGGGGATGTCACGCTGACTGACGACAATCGTTACTCTGCCAAACTGGACTTTTACCGGTACATGCTCCAACGCGTTGAAACAACTCTGGAAGTGACGACACCAATCCAAGGCCACGAGTTCACCAAGTACGAGTACAGACACGAAGGTGGTCCAGAAAGCTTCAAATGCTACAAGTCACTCGAGTACGGAAACTCACAGAAAATCACGTACGACCTTCAGGCAACCACATCTCCCAACCCCAACTTGAGTGTAACGCTGAAGACGCCGTTTGACATGTACGAAGATCTGTCGGCCTCTGCTTCTCTCGTCAACAACTGGCCGGTCGCTTCCGTCTCCGGCAAAGTCAATGCTGGAAATGGCAACGTCGTGGCTCTCAACGGAGCTCTGGACGTGAGCTCAGACATTTCAGGCTCCCTGTCTGTCTCCACACCCCTGGATGATTTCTCCAATATGGGGCTCAGCTTCCAGCATTCCGGTGACCTGAACAACTTCAACTCAGAGGGCAGAATCACTTACATGGACAACAAAGAGGTCTCTGGTAAACTGAGATACAAACGTAACGGTGCTCGTATTGTTGCCGAGCTCAAGACGCCCGTCACTGGTTACGAGCTAACCAGATTCGAGTACAAAGAGAACAACAACCAGCGAAAGGCTTTCTCTGAGGGCTCTCTCTTGTATGGAGACAACCAGGTACTCCAAAGTACTGTCAAGATTGTCTATCCTCCAAACCCAGAAATGGTGTTCACTCTCAAGACGCCGATCAGAAACTACGAGGACATGTCTGTGTCCTACTCGTTGGACACGACAGGACCTCAGTACAAACTGGAGAGCAACGCCAACATGGGTAACGGTCGTAGCGTCACTTTGAACGGTGGTTTTGACTCGTCTGACGACATCTCTGCTTATGCAACCCTGAACACACCAGTCTCTGGCTACAGGAACCTCGGGGTGGATTTCCGCCACTCTGGAAACGACCAGAAGTTTACAACCCAAGGAAAGATCACTTACGCTGACAACAAAGACATCAGCGGAAAGGTTAACTTCTACCGGTACATGTGGCGTCGTGTGACTGCTTCGGTGGAACTGAGTGCTCCTTTCTCGGGCCTGGAAAACACCAAAGGTGAGGTGAACTATGAGGACAGATCCACCAGTATGAGCGCGTCATCATCTTTGCAATACGGAAGCGACCAGAAACTTGACGGCAGTGTCAAGCTGACCTACTCTCCAAACTACGACTTGCTCGTGACGATCAACACTCCTTTCGATGATCTCAGGAACGTTCGCGCCGTGGCTACCGCAGACCTCAATGCCCCAAGCTACATGGTGACCAGCGGCCTCACATACGGCTACAACAAAGCCTACTCTGCCAACGGAAAACTGAACCTGTTCTCTGCCCAAAGACTTGATGCTTCCCTGCAGGTACAGACGCCTATTACAGGTTTCGAGATGACCAAAGTCGAATACAACCACAAAGTCGACTCCTCCAACATTCAAGGCTCCACCTCTTTGGCCTATGAGAACGGACGCAAGACGATCAGTGCTGAGCTTCAGTCCAGCATCTACCCATCTCTGGACGCCAGCGTCACAGTGAAAACTCCCGTCTACGGGTACAGCAGCGTGCAGGGGGCACTGACCTATGACAGCTCTTACAACAAGTACGAGGCTTCCAGCTCTCTCAAGGTCGAAGGTCGCAGCCTGTACACCATGAACTCCGGCCTTGATTACTCCGTGGAACCCATCAAAGTTTTTGCCAAGATCTCCACCCCACACACCGACTTCCGCAACGTGGAACTTGTCTTGACGCACGAGGGTCAGTTCGACAACTTCAAGTGTACCGGATTCCTGGCCTCTCCACTCACGGACAACGTCAACGCCCAGGCTTCCCTGGACTACAAGAGTCCGTACGACATGAGCCTGAGCACATCCGTGAAGAGCTCGCTGGCCGGCATGGACGACCTCAAGTTTGAGCTGAAGAATTCTGACGTGGCCGGGGAGAAGAAGATGAACGCTGTTGCTGGATGGACCGACGGTCAACAGGTAAAATAGTTTCTTCCAATTCAAGCTTCCCAGCTCTGTTTGGTTTATTTTGGTGACTTACTCGTATCCTTTTTTAGAGACAAAATAAATCACAAGTTTGTTGCAATGAAGTAACGGTTTCACATAGCAATAGCAAGCAAAGTATAGCTCTGGAATTGGGTAACCAAACAACCTCCAATAGCAATATTGATAAAGATAATAATAATAATGATAGTAGTATTGATAATAAAAATGATAGTAATAATAATAATCATCATCCTCATAATAATAATAATAATCATAATAATCATTATAGTCATAATTATCAAAATCATCACAATTATCATAATCATCATAATAATCATAATCATAGTAATGGCAATTATGATTATAATAACTGCTTTTATATAGCCTATACCCATGCTCTGCGGCATGTTCATGCTCTACGATATGTTCATGCTCTATGCACTTTACCACTATCATTACCCCCGGGAGACCCCATAATGCTCTCTGCAGAAATATGCTGATGACAAACTAAGTACAAAGCTCCCAACCGGCTTTATCCCCCGTTCCCTTCCCCAGTTGACCCCAGAACACCGAGAAACGTTCTAATAACAAACTATTCTCCCATTCTCTTCCCCAGATTCAGACAGACGTCATGTACCGCTCACAGGAGACCTGGTACGAAGACAAGACTCACACTGACGTCAGCCTATCCACTCCGTTCGCCGCCCTGCGCAGCCTGGCTGTACAGACCCAGCAGACGAGAAAGAGTCAAGGCCGTGAGGGAAAATTGGCAATCGACATGAACGGTGCCCAGCTCCTGGACGTGAGTGGAGAGTACAGCTCCAAGGACAAACACGAGGCATCCTTGACCTTCAATCAGCCATGGCCCATGCAGTACACAGCAAGCGGCTTCAACACCGAAGGTCGAATGGAGGCTGATGTAATGGCCAATTGGAACAGGTAATTCTTGTTTGTTTAACTTTTATGAAGTGTGTTTCAAAACATTATCTACTTGTATTTTTTAGTAAAGGGGTTGGGTAATCCTGAACTTCGAGCAAGAAAAAAATTAATGAAGAAGCCAGATATAATGAAAAATAGGCGTCACCTGTACAAAAAGCATAGAGCGATTAGGCGCTTCGACGCCCCAAGAAGAAGATCCAACTTCAGTTCCCATAAGGGGGAAATGTTTAATCGAGTGTCTCTTCATTTTGCTGAGACGTTGTATCATTCTCAGCCCAGCTTCACTCTGACAGGCGGAACCAAAACTGCCTCCTAAATTATCTAGATTACGCCATTGAGGCCATAACAACGCTTACGATTTTTAAAGTTCGTTTTTTTAAAACCCGTTTTATGTTTTTTAATCGTTGCATTGACCGTTCACTCACCTATTTGATGTGTCTACTTCCCCACAGAGATGACTTGACCAGCAACGTGCACCTGGTGGCTGTGGTCAACGACAAGTCTGACGCTTACGTCACCGACAGGGCTGTGGACATGAGTGTGGAGAGGTCATCCCGCAAATTGGGCGTGTCTCACACCCAGAAAGTGTCAGGCTCCCAACTGACCAGTACCGGCAAGATGTTCTGGGACTCTGGCGATGAGGACCAGGTCTCCTACGACCTGACCGTCACCGACAACAGCCGGCGCAACAAGGACGTGACTGAGGGCAGCCTCAAGCTGGGTCTTCCTTCCAGGACTCTCGAACTCTCTGGATCTATGAGGTAGGTCTCTGTCTGTCTGTCTGTCTCTCTCTCTGTTTCTCTCTGGTTTTACTCTCTCTCTCCCTCTCTCTCCCTGTGCGTGTGTCTCTCTCTGTCTCTCTCTGTCTCTCTCTGTCTCTCTCTGTCTCTCTCTTTCTGTCTGTCTGTCTGTCTCTCTCTCTCTCTCTCTCTCTCTCTCTGTGTCTCTGTCTGTCTGTCTGTCTGTCTGTCTTTCTGTCTGTCTGTCTGTCTGTCTGTCTGCCTCTCTCTCTCTCTCTCTCTCTCTCTCTCTCTCTCTCTCTCTCTCTCTCTCTTTCAAGTTACAGGCTAATTTCTATATCCTGGAAAAAAATAATGTAGGCGGGCGTGCTGGAAGAGAGGGGAGTGAATACATTATTGCTTTTTCAGGCACAGCAACTGGGAAAGTAGATATATTCCGGAAAAACAGATTAAATGGGAAAACCCTCACAACAAGAAAGAAAAACTTTGCTTTCGAAACATTATTTGCTCCAGTAACAGAAATTACATTATCTCTTTTGCTGATCTATAAAACATTATACTTATCTTGCTTACTTTCAGCGACAGCCCAGTAGCCAAAACAGCCGACGCCACCTTCAGCTGGGACGCAGGGCGAGACAGCAGCAAACAGGTCGGTGTCAAGGCCACCATGAGGAGAGGGAAATCTCTGCGCGGTGACATCACGCTCAGCATGCCCTCCATCAGAAAGGTGAGCTTTGATCGCTGACACACTTGTGATCTTGACCATGCTGGACACTGTTTTTTTTATACTGTCTTTTCTTTAAGAAAGATTTGTTGTCTTGTGTTGATCGCACCATGTGAAGAAGGTGCTGTACTTATTTCTAGTGATAGTTCGTCACCTTTGACTATCTCATAGTATGGCTGGCAATTAGGAAATCCCTGAAGATTTTGCAACCATTTCCGTGTATTTCTCCAGGTCTCTGCCTTCTGTAGTAAGATGTTCGAGTCATGGCCAGTCAAGTCTTTGATTTTGACTTCCCATCGCTTCTTCTGACTCCCTCCTTGTGCTGTTCCTCCAGATGACCGTGTGATGTTCATATACCACTTCACTTTATATATTTCTCTAAAGTCAAAAGGTCTTCATGCAGCTCTAAAGCATATTATATAGTCTTAATATTTCGTGTCTTGGAGCCTCATATCTGTTGGTGTAAACATAAACCTAAATCTCTCCAACAGGAGATCCGCATGGACGGTGAGCTCATGCTGGACAACGGCCGCATCATCCTGGACTCCAAGACCGACATCTCCTACTCCAGCGACGCCAGCAAGACCTTGACCCTGACCTCCAAGGTACAGGACATCTCTGACTACTACAGCAACTACAACTACAGCGTCGAGCTGGGCCTGAGCCACCCGTACACCAACATTGACGTCAAGATGACCTCGCACCTGGGAAGTTCGGACGAGCGCATGACCGTTGGCGTGGAGACGAGCTACCTGACCGCCCGCAGACAGACCAAGAACCTGGCGCTACTGGCTGAGATCAACAAACTCAAGAGACAGATCAGTGTGCAGGTCAGATTCACAAATACATTTGAGTGAGATTTTGTAATGTACGCGACAGTTAAAAAAATTTTTTTTTCGATCCTAAGCTGAAATTCGTCCCTAACAGCAGACGTGGTTGAACTTATCATTGCATCTGGTTCAGCTGTACTCGGGAGAGACTTTATTATGTTAACTGACAATCAAAACTGGATGGTACACTGACCATCTAAAAATGAAAGTTGGGCTCTTGGACAGAGATGAATAACTGGCTAATTTGGAAAAATAACAATGTCAAATCAAATAAAACGTATTGAACAAAGTTGGTCAAGTTGCCCATTTTAACAAATTTATGCTTACTCTTACTCAAATAAAACCCATGCGCCATATGGAGGTTACAAACACGGCACTGGATGAGTTCATGCCCACCGATAGGAAAAATAAAGGAAGATGTAATACTCTTTACGTTTTAACGATTTTTATTGCTGCATTCGATTAGGATTTTTGCTATATTCGAGCCCGGTCTTTATATAACCTTCTTTATCCACAGATGTCAAACCCCATGAACAAGATCGAGATCGTGGGTGACGTTGTGAGCACCAGCCCGTCCAAGCTGAGACTTTTGAACAGGATTGACGACACTGAAGTTTTCCGCTCCGAGCTCACAGTAGACAGTGACACGAAGTCTGCCGAGATCAGCGCAGTCATGGACTCTGGTAGGTTGAGGATTCAATTATTGTCAGCGAAATGTTTTGTTCACGACCCTTCTGAGTGGAATTGTGTTCTGGTTGGGAATTTGGAGTAAGGGGGGGGGGTTCCGAAATGCAGTAAACTTATGCTGATAGCTTCACAGTATCCGTTCCTTAGATGTAGGTTCACGTTTACTCTATTCTCAACACAATCTGTGTTGTGAATTAACGCGTTTCCCGAGAAGGACGAGGGTTGGGGGAGGGTGTTCCTAAAATACAAAAAAATACCGAGGACAACATTTGAAAAGTTTCTCTACAGATTTTGACCTCCTTTATATGCTCCAAAGGAGAGACATGGTCAATACGTTTGGAATCAAGAAATGTGTAAGGGTGTATCCTACAATTCTACATGTATGTATGTATATGAAAGATCTGTGTCTCACTACTTCTCGTTTCCCTCCCACAGAAAAGTTCAGCCTTCACGCCCAGTACCCAAACAGCAGCGCTTTCCGCGCCTACATCAGTCACTGGACGCCCGAGGTGAACCACCAGGAGGCGCTGCTGGCCCTCCGCCTCAACACGACACGCCTCCTGCACTCCCGCCTGCACTGGAGGCCCGCCTTGTGGGCGCAGCTTACTGCCGGAGTCGAGGAGAGAGCCGCACGTGCCGGGGTCAAGGCCGCTGAGATGTGGGAGCTAGTCAATGAGGCTGTGGCTGACGAGGTAACGCCTACTCATCTTTGTCATCTTTGGTTATATTTATCTGGATGTTTTAAGCCGCTATCAACACTATTTAGACCACTTACAAAATCCCAACAGAACGACATAGATACACGGTTGAAATAGTAATAACTTGGGCGTAAAAAAACATGTTTTTTTCTAAAAATTATTAAAGTTCTTTTTAAGTTTACTTTCCTACTACGAAAATACATGCTCGTGACCAGACCCAAGTATTGTTTCGATATCACAAAATATAAGACATAAACTGACCACTGAAATTGTCTGACCATCCACTTTTTCCTCTTCCAGATCGCTGGCAAGTACAGAGCAGTGTCTAGCTCTCTGGACGAAGAACTGACGCCGCTCATCGACGCCCTTGAGCGACAGTTTAACAACATGGCCTACAAGATGGCGGACATGTCACGTGAGCTGAGAGCCACGTACCAGCGTAACGACTTCCACGTCCAGGACATGGACGCCTACAGGACCTTGCAGTAAGTCTCCCACAATCTTCTTACCACTTTGAAGCGCTCAAATGAGAAACAGGCTAAGTGACATAATGTTACAACTTAACCTTTTTAAAAACTTGTTTACTATGTGCTTGGCTTGTTCTTAGCTTGACTTTCTTTGATAAAGATAAAGTTTGTGGATCACTTAGTTGGTTTTTTCCCTCTTCATTGATTTCATAGGGATATAGAACTAGGGATATTTCAAGGTATTGTTGTAAGCTAAAGATTAGAAATGACGATGTGATTGTTTTTCACTTGACCCAATTTCAACCTTAATTTAATCTTTGTTGCTTCTTTTGCTTTACATCGCGTCTCATATTTTGGTGAACCCACACACTTTGTGTTGTCTGTATGGCTAATTGTTAAGCTGTGTCGACGCACTATGAGACCAATATGTGCTCAGGCTCTTCATTCATCGCGCCTCCCAGCTGTCGTTTCAAAAATGAGACGATAGTGCCGTAAGACCTTCACTCACTCACGCACTCACTCACTCACTCACTCACTCACTCACTCACTCACTCACTCACTCACTCACTCATTCACTCACTCACTCACTCACTCACTCACTCACTCACTCACCCAATCAATCAATCAATCAATCAATCAATTAACCAACCCACCCACCCATCTGTTGTTTCAGAAGCCAGTTTGAGTCTATGGCCACGGAATACCGCCGCGGCTACACAGAGCTCATCCAGTCTCTGAGGCACGCCTTGGCCGCCATGTTGGAATTCCCTGCCAGAGAACGCTACACACAGCTGGTGGAGTCTGGCATGTCCTACCTGGCAGAGCGCGTCTACTCCTCCCTCTCCTGTCTGGAGGAGTACACAGGACGCTTGGAGAAGGATCTGCAAGAGTACAAGCACAACACGCAGAAATGGGCAAACTCAGTAGCTGGTGAGTTTTCTGGAGTTTGACATTTTTTGTCGGTTTCCATGCTCTTTCCTTCCATATTCCCTTTTCGCGACCTTCGTGCTTTTTTGTCATCTCTCCATTTTTAATCATAGTGAAAACAGTTCATGACAAAGAGTGAGCTTAAGAAGAAGTCACATTTTCACTGTTAAAAAATGGAGATAGGACAAGAAAGCACCGAGGTTGCGTTTTCCTGTCTGTTTTATTTTTCAATCAACAACCCACCAGTTACAAGGAGTGAAAACAAACTTTTCTGTGTTGAACAAAGCCCCAGCAAAAACACCTTTAAAATCATATAAACGCTACGTTCCTGAACACAACTTAAGCCATAATTTTACACTATTCTCAACACAATTCAGACAGTTAAAACCCTCAACTCGTCAAAGTCACAGCACTGCCAGATTTTCTTTTTACAACTTCTCACCGTGGACAGATGTTTACGTTGATACTATCCAATATCAAAAATGGCATGGGGTGGGGAGGGGGGGGGGGGGTTCTTGTGAGGCCAATCAATTTCTTTGTGTGAACAAAATGGTGACATCATATGTTTTTGTACACGTTCCGGAAGCATCTTTTAAGAAACATCTTTTCTTAAAAATAAATCTCGCCCCCCTTCACTTCCACAGACACAGTATACAACACCAGCTACGTAGACTACATCGCAGACAGATTGGCTGAGGTCAAGAATGTGGACATATCACCCTACATCACTTCCATTGAACTGCCAGAAGAATACAGCAACGCCATCTACAGCGCTAGAGACTCCGCAGTGTCCGGTATGAAGGACTTGTGGGAGCGACCAGAGATCGATGTGGTCAGGGGAAATCTTAACAAAGTCTACCAGCAGGTGAGGTTCTAGAAAAATGGGAGAACAGTTCTTTGGGGACAAAAACAGAATCTTCTCTGAGCCGAGGCTGCCCTCGTATCTTATGTACATTTGTTTTTTTAGCTTTCAATTTCTTTTCTACCATTGTACAACTTCGAGCACCACCACCTCCCCCCCTTCCCCTCTTCCTCCCCCTCCTTCTCCCCCCCCCCCTCCCTCTCTCTCAGTCTTTCTCTCTTTCTCTCTCTGTCTCTCTTTCTCTCTCTCTTTCTCTCTTTATCGTGTTCTTTCTCTTTCACTCTCACTCTCTTTCTCTGTCTGTTTGTCTGTTTGTTTGTCTGTTTGTATGTCTCTCTGTCTGTCTCTCTGTCTGTCTCTCTCTCTCTCTCTCTCTCTCTCCCGCTCTCTCTCTCACACACACACACACACTCTCTCTCTCTCTCTCTCTCTCTCTCTCTATCTCTCTCTCTCTCTCGCTCGTCCTGACAACCTAAGTTACTTTGGGATAACGTACGCTTTGTCTGTATAGGTACGTGTGAGAACGTGAGTATGTAAGCAAGTCTGTGTATTTACTTGTGTGTTCATGATCGTATGGCGAACCTTTCCCAACAAATCCCATCTTTTTCTCTCCCTTTTTCATTCTATGCGTACATACGTGTTTATGTGTGTGTGTGTGTGTGTGTGTGTGTGTGTGTGTGTGTTGTGTGTGTGTGTGAGAGAGAGAGAGAGAGAGAGAGAGAGAGAGAGAGAGAGATAGAGAAAGAGAGAGAGAGAAAGAGAGAGAGAAAGAGAGAGAGAGAGTGAGAGAGAGACCCCATATTTGGGAGTGTGTTTATTATCTTACAGCCACCATTTTCTAATAAATTCCATCTTTCTCTCTTTCTTCCTACCAGGGTTCTTGGGCTTACAAGTACTGGAACGTAGAGCAAAACCTGAAGAAAAATCTGGGACGTGCCATGACCTTGTTGAGGGAGATCGTGGAAGAGGAACTCAAAGAGCTGACAGCTGAGACCAAAGCCCTCTACCAGAACCCCATCACTGTGTGGATGCCAGAGCAAGGAGAGATCCAGGCACAGCTGACCCTGCCCTTTGACCTCCAGAGACTGGACCAGGTCCCTGACGTGAGCCCCCTGGTCAACAAAATGGAGGAGATTGGCCAAGAGGTCGTGACCTACTTGCCTGACCACAGCACCTGGGAGGACATCAAGCAGGTGAGGAGAATTCCTGATTTTCTTTTTACAGTCCTTTTTGTCAGCTGTGAATAACCATCGTTGTGTTACTGGACTTCCATTCTTTATAACTCCAACACTTGACATGTTTATACCTCAAGTTTCTTTAAGCATCGAATGTCACGGGTCCTATCCACTTATCATTTCAACTGTCTATCCTCTTACGCTGGTATGATACGGAAGAATCTCCAAGACTCCACCAACAAACGCATGAAGCCGTCAATGGTACAAACGCTTGGGACGATCAACAAATAAAGGTTAAACTACTTAGTTGTGTTGAACAAGACTTCAGCAAGGAATCCTTGGGCCGATCAACAATAGTCGAACCTGATCTAACGATGACCTGCCCGAGACTATCACCTGTCCAAATGAATACTTCCCATTCCCCCTCCTCTTTTTTCCTTTTTTCTACATTATAACGAAACCGTGCAAGACGACCACCTGTATAAGACTACCACTTTTTCCCTCGACAATGGGTGGCCGATTTAGACAAAGTCGTTTGTTTTGTGTTTAGCATTAAACAACTTCACTGTGTTGAAAAAAAAAAAAATCTGTGGGTGGTTGGTGGGTGTTGTAGTATGGTTTTCCCCTTCTTTCCTATCAAACATGTATTATCCTTAACTTTCCTCCTTGTTGTCTTTGTTTGTTTTATTGTTAGATCTCTAATCTTCGGCATTGATATGGCCTAGTTGTTTTGAAAGAGCCGTAAAGCTCTTACAAAGACAAAAAAGAAAGACTCTTGTAATAGAGCATGAATGACCCAAACCAATCAAAGTTGCTGAAACTAATGACCTGTGTTGTCTCCCCTGTCTCAGACCGTGTCTGACCTGTGGCCGGCCCAGGAGGAGGGACAAGAGGAGCCGCTGGGGAAGTACCAAACCTCCAGGCAGTACCGTCAGCTCAAGAGGGGAGGCAGAAAGGTCAACAAGATGAGAAGATACGGGCAGTGAAAGAAACGCAATCCAGCAACCATGACCAGAAACGTACCACGGATTAACCCGATTATCCTCTTTGTACTTTAGTTACATTATTATTATGTAGAATGGTTTTGGAAACATTTGGAAGACTTTGTCTGAAACGGGTAAAATTGTATTCACACGTTATTCTTTATAATGATATTGTTTATGTTTATGTTCTTTTTATAATACAAAATTGAAGCATATATACAACAGTGTTGACTTTGTGTTTTTCTCATAGTTATGGCTTCCTTCAACATCAGAATTGTAGTAAAACATCTTCACCTTCACTATATCAATACCATCCTCTCCATAATCATCAACATCCGAAGGAACTGTTGTTGAAGTTAAAAATGGGTTCAACGCCTCTTCCATTATCCCAATACTGTTTAATTAAGGGGTAGAATCTCAGGTTGATTCAACATCCATCTCCCATAGAACTTTGCCAAACTGAAGTGTAGTTTTGAAACTATTCAAACTTCCTAAAATTGATGTTCTAGACAGACTCATAAAAGATTCGAACCAAAGTCATCAACAATGCTGTCCAGCATTATCCCAACAGAGCTACACTGAGACCTCTATAAATTATAATAGAGCTTATCGACATTTTTCTTTTATAGCCAGCACCCGCTTTTGACACCTGTAAGAGGCTGAAATGTTCGTACTTCTTACCAACATATGCGATGTATCACTCCCCAAGTGATCCCCACCGCCGATACAAAAAAAAGATTACCAAATCGCCCACGAGAAGTCGCCCATATTGGCAAGCACTGCTCATGCTCTATATCAATGGGGGGACAGCGTTGATGGTTAGATACTGACAATTCTTCCAAGGTATCTACATGTGCTAACAATATCATCAAAGGAGTGGCTGTGAAGAATGACTTATAATAGTTGACTATCCTCAGAGAATCAGAGCCAATAGGCAAATGAAAAGAGTAAAGAGATAGGAAGAGGGAGAGAGAGAGAAAGAGAGAGAGACCGAGAGAGACACAGAGAGACAGAGACAGAGAGCGAGAGAC